AGCATTTTGCTGAGGAAGTAAACATCCACTCGGTACATTCCATTGAAGTGCTCCCGCAGAAATATCGGCAGCTCTTGACAAAACACCTACGGAAAACAGGGCCGCAAAAAAAAAAAAAGAAAAAAAAGCGATTTAGCAAATGACAAGAAGAACAAACACAGAAACAAAAGGAGTATTATTTTGTCTTAGACCTTCCCAAGACATTCCGAGAAACTGAAAATTACAATAAAAACCTATTGCAATTTTTGAAATCAGCCTTTATCAGCATTTATATGCACTGATATTCAGCCGCGTCCATGATAAGTGGTTCCTATAATAACACTGGATAATTGTTCACAGCACACACTTATACTTACGAAAACTTTTTAAATTTAAGATTCTTATAGCTGATAAAATTTTTAAAATGTATCGTTCATTTTTAGCAGCTTTTTTGAGCTTTCTTTTCTGTATCCTAAGACTTTCATCATCGATCAGATCATTTAAAAAAAAGAGCATTGGAGGTGCAAACAGAATGCCGCAAATTTCCCACAGAATCAAAGCATGCCTTTGAATTTGCACATTCAACTTGACAAATCCATTCTATATACTTTTATTGCAAAAGAAGTAAGGATAACAGTATTTTGAAGAACTGCAGGCGGTGCATAAAAACCCGAAAGACAACGGAATTTTGAAAAAAATTATACATTGAAAGGATTGCTATAATAAATCATAAATTTAACTTTTAAAAACAGATGCAAACTCTTTTTGTATAATTTGTATAAACGAGCAGACGGTCTCACAATAACTTAGACACGAGTCTAATGTTTTTTTTCTGAGGAATGCTGAGAATGCATTTTGAAAACAACTTTCACAAAATTAAAATTTAACTTTTAAAAACAGATTTTAAAACTCTTTTTTGTATAATTTGTACAAACGAGCAGACGGTCTCACAACAACTTAGACACGTGTCTATAGTCTTTTTTTCTTTCTTTCTGAGGAATGCTGAGAATGCATTTTGAAAACAACTTTTAAAAAATGAAGGGCCAAAAATGTCAGACCAAAAAAGAAATACAGTACAATTAAAAAATAAAATAAAACACAAAAAAATGGAGTGCCTTAGGAAGAGCCGAATGCAACTACTGCCGTTTCCGCAAGACCTTTCAGTACAAGCACTCCTTCTCCTTGTTCCGCGGCAACTACAAAACTTGCGGGAGGACCGAGTCCAGGACGACGTCCATCTATATGCCCAGCAGGATGCCGACCATCTAGAAGCACGTACAAAAACGCACAATGCATACGTGAGGAAGAGGAACAAGGCGCCGTTGATGTTTTGAACGCCCTCCTGGCTCAGGTCCTGCTGCAGGTAGATTATGCCCAGCAGGATGCCGACCATCTAGAAGCACGTACAAAAACGCACAATGCATGTACACCAGCCATTTTTTGTTGTTGTTCGAACCCAGTTACAGCACAGCAAACGCGCATGTTTGAAAAAAAAGAAACGGAAATTCCTCGCTCACATACACGGGAACTATACGTGTGTATTTTTCTGCGAGCAAGGAACCCGAAAACATAAATATTAATCATCGTGTTTTGCTTGGTATAGCAACGGGAACGCCCACGTCGGCCAAATTCGCAGGGGAGCTTTCAAGATTTGTAAATATTTTGTGGTTGGAAATTACTCTGGCTTGTTGCAATCAAGAATGAAAAACACCCTCATGATTCTTCCATTTAACCACCCCCCCCCCCTTTCATGCTTCAATTAAGCGTCAAAGAAAAGTCGCTTTCGAGAATTCAACTTCGATGACGATCAACGAAACCAGAGCAGTTTTTTGTGTGGATAAATTGCATAATTAACGTACACGTATTGAGTCAATCTAAAGATAATATGATCAACCAAAATATCATTTTCCAACAGACCAAATACAATACTTGAACCATTTTAGGAGCCTGGAAATTGTATAAGAAAATCGTTATCTTTGTTCCCTCTCAACAAAATTTGGCTCGTTCACAAAAGATAAAATGGCTACAACGGAAGATAAAGAGCCGAAATATGAATTAACTATACGAAGACATTGTTTTTCTTATAAAACTCTTGAAAGCTGAAACGAAAATCGAAATTCTGTTGAATCAACTTTTTAAAAGGAAGCCTTTCCACGGACTAGCTGCTCGAAAATAAAAAAAATATATATTACTTTCAAAAGAATCCTCGAAATCCTCACGCCGATGATTCAAAACCTTCCAAAACCAAGAAAATTAAAAAACACACTCACGGTATTCACTAAAATATGAGACTTAATTTTTAAAACGAGAATCAGGTTGCTTTTTATATTTGATGACGTCCCATCTTATCAGGTTCTTTCACTTTTGACCCAATCCTTCGCCCAAAAAATACTTCATTATTACTCAAAAGAACGGATCTTTTGCAGCATTTGCAGTTGGAAGGACACAGGTGTTCGAATCCTGGTTTTTTTTTTCGAAAATTTTGCAAAAGCTTCTGCCAGAAACTGTCGCACGAGCAGAATCAAATGACTTCTTTTTTATTTTGTAGGATCTGAATGGTCTGAAATTACATCTTAAATTCGCAGGCAAAACCGTCATTTTAATTTTAATTTTGGAGCCGCAATAACCAAAATAAAATATGTCGAATAATTTATGGTGAAAATTATATTAAGGTATATATTATGAAAGATACGAAACAGGTCTCTCAATCATTTGAGAAACCCTTAGCGTTTTTTAAAGCATTTCTCAATCATTTGAAGAACCTTTGGAGTTCCTTTATAAGCATTTCTCGAATTATTGAGGAACCCTTACAGGAACTCGATAGAGGTTTCTCAAACATATTCCAAAAAATACGATTATTTACATAAATATAAAAATAAATATATACACAGTATATGAAGAAGATGAAACTCACCACAGTCTGGAACAGCCGCACTTTGAGGATAAGTGGTTCCCGGGATATGCTGACAAAGGACCGCCAAACAACGGCGTTGAGTTGGGCAAACCATCCAGCCTTGTAGACCCCGGTCTTCATGACGACCTCGTCGTCGATGCTCTGCAACTTGGACGACCCCTCTTCGACACCCCCGCGATTCGCCAAGTCCTTGATTGCCAGGCCGTCCTCAGAAGTCTCAAAGGCGTCGCACAATTCGAAAACGCGTTTCCTGCAATTCTCCTCGTCGCCGGGAACAATGGCCAATGTGTGGATGAAGAAATCCGCAGGGTTGAAATTCGGGGGACACGCGTATCCGTGTCTAATTTCCAAAGTTTTCAAACAGAAACGCAAAATGTTAGGCTTCAGATTACTGAAGTATTTTGTTTTTAAAAGGAAAAACGCGAAACAAATCGTATCAGTAATCTTCGTCCTGAATGTAATGAACTATGCGTCATGGTTGACGATTACAAATCTTCCTTGTGAATTTCATCAGTTGAGACACAAATGAAAATTAAAAAAAATCATCACTTTTCTCGTACCTCTCTCAAATTAAGGGACCTCCACGTCAGCGAAATTTCCCAAACGCGTGCAAATTTATGAATCAAATTTAATTCCGCACTAAATTATTACATAAGTAAAAGCTCTTCGATGCGGAATTTATGCGCCAGAGATAAGCAAAAGAAAATATGTCTAATAATCGATGGGGTCTCATATTCCAGCAAATACGATTATACATTTAAAAAATGCATAAAATGTGAAGATGACGAAAAATTGTCTTCGGTTCTCAGCAAATGGAGAAAGAAAACGGCTGGAGAATTTTTCAAATTAAAAAGAAAAAGCAGGGGGAAATGATACTAAATTTATGGTTCACAATGTCTCAAACAAAAATACAGCTGAGGAAAAATGATCACCAGAGCAAATACCTCAGAGAACTAAGATTTCCGAGAAGATAATTGAGAACCTATACACAAATTGGATGCCATATTTTTGGAAAAATTCCATGTACCGCATTTCAATGTCGACTGTAGGATGAATTCGAGAGTAATCAGCCACAACAATTGTAGACTTAAACTTTGAACACATTATACTCATGCACATAATAACTTTAACATCACCGAACAACGTAGAATTCCAGGAAAAAAAAAAATCTGGGACAACATTTATTTTTCTGTTGCTTCTTTCTGGTTTAACCATTACATACAACAGTAGAATATCGTTACAACGGATCTCGATACAGTATTACGAATACTGTACTGTATAGTATTCGATTACAACAAAGTCGCTTTTTAGGTCCCTGCCAAATAGCCATGAAGTTTAAACAGTTCGATTATAACGAATGTTTCCATACAACGAAATTATTTTACTGCTCCCAACGGTTTCGGTGTCACGATATTTTACTGTATTCTCAGAATTTTTACTTTTGGATTTTTCTCGGCTGCGGCTGCGTCATTTAGTTTTTTTAACTGCCTTGAATCTCGAGCCCCATTTTCTCCCCTGCGGCATTTTCTCGTGACATAACTTCGGCGCAGTTTTTTTTTTTTCAAAGAATGAAGAGGTGCATTGAGATGAGGTTCACCTGTTGAAGAAGTCGAAAGCACCGTCCACGTCCCCGAGATACGCCGTTCTTCCTTCAGCCATGAGCAACAATCGGTCAAACATGGCATACAACTCAGAAGAGGGTTGATGAATTGTCGCCACGATCGTTTTGCCCTTTTCAGCCAGTGCCTTCATGACACCCACGACGTTTTGCGCCATGAAACTGTCGAGGCCAGAAGTTGGTTCGTCGCAGAAGAGCAGTGGGGGGTCCGTCAACACCTTTTATTCCGATACGAAGGTGCAAAATACGGGATTTAAAAAAATGTCATAGGTGCAAATTATCCAGGAAAACAGATGGGAAATTTTCAAGACTTGTGGAGCAAACGCAAATGAAGAGGTGTCAGACGGAGGCTTATTTTTTTTTCTATTGGCCTGAGGCAATACAATCCTACTTTGCAACGATATTCGAAATTTTTTACAATATTTTCACCCACTTATTTTCACATAAAAAGGAACAGAAAATGAAAATAAAAAAATGCTTTGAATGGAAAGAAACTGAAGTTCTTCCACTGAAATCAACCCGAAGCTTCCGATTTATCTACATTCTCAATTGACGTAATCGCATCGAATGTTAATAAGTGAAATTACAAAGATAAACATTTTGACAGATGTATCGTAATCTTTTGTGCTTTTCCCCCTATAAAAACCACCATAAATTTAAATCTGCACTTGATGAAGTATAATCCGAACTCAAAATTTGCCATCGCAAGATTACTTATTCATTCAAAGGGTCAATCCCGAACATTGGGTTGAGCTCTACATTAAGAAAAATTCAAAATCACTCGATTATATTTTGCATTATGTCTTCTTCATAGCATGCATGTTTAAGTGAACTGATATTCATTCTCTCGCTTTCATCAGACAATTTTTGTAAAACCTCGTTATAAAGCTTGTGACACCTTCAAATCCGGGTACATTTGAGTCAAATGCTCGTGGTGGTCAAACAAATCAAATTCAACGCCAAAATATTGACATCATTCGGAAGAAAATTGATTCAGCTTTGGCTATGAATTTATCTCAAGTTATAGCTTAGACTGTTCGAAAGACATTGTATTATAGCCAATTTGTTTTGATTGACCCTGATGGTGTTCTCTATAAAAATTGTGTTGTCTGATACGATTTTAGTCAGGCCCACACATTTTTTTTGTTTTTAGAAAATTAGGTTCAACGTCTGATACAATTATAGGCAGGTCCATACATTCTTATTTTTGTTTTTAGAGAATTAGGTTTAACGTCTGATACAATTCTAGTCAGGCCCAGACATTTTATTTTTTTATTTTTAGAAAATTAGGTTCGACGAGCATGCATCTGGAATTTTCCCGCAAGTTTACTATCAGAGACGAAGATTGACTTGTATTATCCAATACCACCAGAGTACCAGACGCATTCCTGAGTTGGCAAACCCGTGGTTCCCCCCCCCCACCTGCCACCGTGCGTTAAAAACTAAACCCAGAAGTCTTCAGAATACCAAATTACAATATTATGTGCTCCTTGCTTGCGCCCTCATTCTAGATGCGAGGATTTCCTCTCGCCACCAGCGTGCGCGGGATTTATTGCACACGTTCGTGCCCCAGTCGTAAAAATTGAAAGAAAAAAAATTCATCGAGAGAAAATAAAAACAAAAAAAATGAAACAGAAGTTGAAAAAGATTCAACCCTGGGACTTGACTCACCTCGCAGGCAAACGCCAAGCGTTTCATTTCTCCCCCGGAGATCCCCTTTAGCCTGCCCGGAATGCCGACCATCGTGTCGGCGCACTTCGAAAGGCCAAGCTGTGGAAATATATCATATATTTATATAACATATAACTCTGTATTTTTCATATTACTTCTGAAGTCCACCAAGGGGTTGGCGGTGTTCATGTACTTCGGTAGCTCCTATTTATTTGAGCAAGTATGCCATGCGTCTGTATTGCTATATATCCTAGCTCCATAAATTAAATATTAAAAAAAATGCAGTTGAAAAAAAAATTGGGTCATTCGACGCTCACGCATCACGAGACAAATATTTGAGACTCAACAAGCAAAACCTGAAAAATAAAACAAAAACGCAAGAAATCGTCGAAATTTTTTTTCATTTTCGTAGATGTTCAACTTGAAAAAAAAGCCTGATACTCCGTGGAAATCATTAAAAAAATTATCTGTATCCATTATTTATTTTGTTTTCTGGAATAGGCGTTCCAAAATTAAGCCCAATTTAATAACAAAACGGCATCTGGCCTTCACAATTTGACTGAATGAGGTTTAACCTAGAAAGATTTGAGTTAAGAAGTTTTACATTGCATCGCACTCAAGGAAATTGGCCAGGGATTAACTGGAAATTCCGAGTAATACGATTTTCGACTTGGCGAGGTAGAGGTGTTTTTTTCTTCTTTTTCTTCTGCTTGGCCCATAAGTAAAGCGCCAGATGGGCTTATAAATTAAATGGCACCATCATCAAGAATAACTTGCCCACACCTGACCCAACAACGTGAGGATAACATATGGCACTTGGATGAAGCAGAGTTCTCATCAACTCACCGCACTATAACCCATCGGGGTACAATGAAAACCCATTACCTACACTTGAACAATCAAGTGCGTTACCCCGAGGGTCAGGATAGGTAAGAATACTTCCGATTTGATACGATGCAGAATCATGAATCTTTGAAAATCAAACCTTCCAACCAAAAAATGCTCACCCAGGGAATCTAATGATGAGTAATATTCTAACTATCATGAAGTTATTACATTGTTGTCCGTTGAAAATAAAATACTTCTTGTAAAAATATATATTTGTTTTATTCACAACAACATAAGTTTTCAAACAATACTCAAAAATAAAATATAACAGACAAGTAGTTTTAAGAGAATCTTGTTAAACGTATACAAGGTTCTCTGAGATGTAACCNTTAGTGCGGAATTAAATTTGATTCATAAATTTGCACGCGTTTGGGAAATTTCGCTGACGTGGAGGTCCCTTAATTTGAGAGAGGTACGAGAAAAGTGATGATTTTTTTTAATTTTCATTTGTGTCTCAACTGATGAAATTCACAAGGAAGATTTGTAATCGTCAACCATGACGCATAGTTCATTACATTCAGGACGAAGATTACTGATACGATTTGTTTCGCGTTTTTCCTTTTAAAAACAAAATACTTCAGTAATCTGAAGCCTAACATTTTGCGTTTCTGTTTGAAAACTTTGGAAATTAGACACGGATACGCGTGTCCCCCGAATTTCAACCCTGCGGATTTCTTCATCCACACATTGGCCATTGTTCCCGGCGACGAGGAGAATTGCAGGAAACGCGTTTTCGAATTGTGCGACGCCTTTGAGACTTCTGAGGACGGCCTGGCAATCAAGGACTTGGCGAATCGCGGGGGTGTCGAAGAGGGGTCGTCCAAGTTGCAGAGCATCGACGACGAGGTCGTCATGAAGACCGGGGTCTACAAGGCTGGATGGTTTGCCCAACTCAACGCCGTTGTTTGGCGGTCCTTTGTCAGCATATCCCGGGAACCACTTATCCTCAAAGTGCGGCTGTTCCAGACTGTGGTGAGTTTCATCTTCTTCATATACTGTGTATATATTTTTTTTACATTTTTGTATATAATCGTATTTTCTGGAATATGTTCGAGAAACCTCTATACAGTCTATAGAGTCCCTTTAAGGGTTCCTCAATAATTTGAGAAATGCTTGAAGAAACTCCAAGGGTTTCTCAAATGATTGAGAGACCTGTTTCATATCTTTCATATACTGTATATATACATATATATATATATATATACAGTATATGGTTCTAATGCGTAGTAAAATGGTGCTAGCACGGATTTGGCCTGTTTGAAAATTATATTTTGGTATAAATACATATATTATGGTATTTTCTGGAATATGAGACCGCATCAATTATTAGACATATTTTATTTTGGTTTTTGTGACTCAAAAATTAAAATGACGATTTTGCCTGCGAATTTAAGAAGTAATTTCAGACCATTCAGATCCTACAAAATAAAAAAGAAGTCATTTGATTCTGCTCGTGCGACAGTTTCTGGCAGAAGCTTTTGCAAAATTTTCGAAAAAAAAAACCAGGATTCGAACACCTGTGTCCTTCCAACTGCAAATGCTGCAAANTAAGGCTTGATCAATCTAATTCTGACTAGTAAAACCTTACATCAAGTACTGTATTTGGTCTGTTTGAAAATTATATTTTGGTTGATACATATTATCTTTAGATTGACTCAATACGTGTACCTCAATTATGCAATTTATCCACACACAAAAAAACTGCTCTGCTTTCGTTGATTGCCATCGAAGTTGCATTCTCGAAAGCGACTTTTCTTTGGCGCTTAATTGAAGCATGGAAGGGGGGGGGTGGTTAAATGGAAGAATCATGAGGGTGTTTTTCATTCTTGATTGCAACAAGCCAGAGTAATTTCCAACCACAAAATATTTACAAATCTTGAAAGCTCCCCTGCGAATTCGGCCGACGTGGGCGTTCCCGTTGCTATACCAAGCAAAACACGATGATTAATATTTATGTTTTCGGGTTCCTTGCTCACAGAAAAATACACACGTATAGTTCCCGTGTATGTGAGCGAGGAATTTCCGGTTCTTTTTTTTTCAAACATGCGCGCGTTTGCTGTGCTGTAACTGGGTTCGAACAACAACAAAAATGTCAGGGTATATGCATTGTGCGTTTTTGTACGTGCTTCTAGATGGTCGGCATCCTGCTGGGCATATAGATGGACGTCGTCCTGGACTCGGTCCTCCCGCAAGTTTTGTAGTTGCCGCGGAACAAGGAGAAGGAGTGCAACATGACTTTCCAGAACGCCTTTGCCGTCATCAACGTAAGCCGAGAAGGATTCCTACTCCATTTTTTTGTGTTTTATTTTATTTTTTAATTTTATTTCTTTTTTGGTCTGACATTTTTGGCCCTTCATTTTTTTTAAAGTTGTTTTCAAAATGCATTCCTCAGAAAGGAAAAAAAAAGACTATAGACTCGTGTCTAAGTTTTTGTGAGACCGTCTGCTCGTTTGTACAAATTATACAAAAAAGAGTTTTAAAATCTGTTTTTAAAAGTTAAATTTTAATTTTGTGAAAGTTGTTTTCAAAATGCGTTCTCAGCATTTCTCAGAAAGAAAGAAAAAAAGACTGGACTCGTTTCCAAGTTGTTGTGAGACCGTCTTCTCGTTTATACAAATTATACAAAAAGAGTTTGAATCTGTTTTTAAAAGTTAAATTTATGATTTATTATAGCAATCCTTTCAATGTATAATTTTTTCTAAATTCCTTTGTCTTTCGGGTTTTTATGCACCGCCTGCAGTTCTTCAAAATACTGTTATCCTTACTTCTTTTACAATAAAAGTATATAGAACGGATTTGTCAAGTTGAATGTGCAAATTCAAAGGCATGCTTTGATTCTGTGGGAAATTTGCGGCGTTCTGTTTGCACCTCCAATGCTCTTTTTTTAATGATCTGATCAATGATGAAAGTCTTAAAATGCAGGAAAGAAAGCTTTAGAAAATCTGCTAAAAATTTTCGATAAATTTAAAAATATTTCATCAGCTATCTGATAATTTAAAAAGAAATCTGAAATTTAAAAAGTTTTCGTGATTAATTATAAGTGTGTGCAGTGAACAATTATTCAGTGTTATGATAGAAACCACCTATCATGGACGCGGCTGAATATTAGTGCATAAATGCTGATAAAGGCTGATTTTAAAAAATTGCAATAGGTCTTCATCGTAATTTTCAGTTTCTCGGAATGTCTTGGGAAGGTCTAAGACAAAATAATACTCCTTTTATTTCTGTGTTTGTTCGTCTTAACATTTGCGAAATCACATGTTTTTTTTTTGCGGCCCTGTTTTCCGTAGGTGTTTTGTCAAGAGCTGCCGATATTTCTGCGGGAGCACTTCAATGGAATGTACCGAGTGGATGTTTACTTCCTCAGCAAAATGCTGGCTGAGTTGCCGTTGTTCATATTGTATCCGACGCTCTTCACCGTGATCACGTATTACATGATCGGATTGAACCCCGAGTTCATCCGTTTCCTCATCTGCGTCGCTATCGTGATCTTGGTGTCCAACTGCGCTTGTTCTTTCGGTAAGGCAATCCCTTTTCTGTTACAATTCTAAAATTTAGAAATCTGGGTACTTTTTTTTGTAAGAATAAGGATTGTACAAGTAGCCGTTCTGTTTTTTTCTCTCCCCAAGACTCTTCCCCTATGCCAAAGTGTCCGCTTGGACAAAGAGTCAGCCTCCAGGAGGGAGGGACGCGAAAAAATTCGGCTCGGGTATTTTTTTTAACTTAGTGAAAGCAGCAGTTGAACCTTTTTTTTTAGAATTCGGAGGGACCCAAAAAAATTCGTCTTGGGAATTTTTTTTTCTTAGTTGGGAGAAAACAGCACGTTTGATGAGGGAATAGAAAAATAATTACAGGAAGGTGAAATATGTTGGACCTTGAAATGAATGATAAATCATCGATTGACGGTATGCTAAACGAGGAAACAAGGGTAAAATTGCCAAATTGGTACAGTAATTCACTTCCTTCTGGAAAGCATCAATTTATATTTTTATTCCTGTTCCATTTCCTGTTGGGTCCCGGGAATAATAGCTTAAATTAAGACATCTAGAAATGTGATTTACGAAGGTCTGATCTAAAAAAATCTTTGAGTTAGCGAGGCATATTATCACATTTTCTGTGGGGAATTCAGACATCTCAACTCGTATTTAAACTGTACTCCCTCCAAGCTCAATGGCTCCAATTTGACATTTGACTTTATCAAGAGGGGTTTTTACAAGGGGTAGTCAATTTAGAAATAACTAGGAGAGGAAGGCCCCAGGCCGGAATAATGGCCTAAAGACCCCTCAAAATGTGAGTGATGGAGTGTTTAGGGGGACGTGTAAATCAAGGGCACCAAATATAATTTATAAAGTCAAGAAACTCCCTTTAAGTCTGTCTCTTAGTTGCTTTTAGGCTGTAACCGTCCTAAAAATGAACCTCTCTAAACTGAACCGTTCAAGACTTACGTCAATCATAAGCGACACGTTGACTTTTAGCAGTCAACTCGCGGAAATTGAATGTAAATGCAGTATGTGAATTTCAGAAAATTTTCTCCTTCGCGTGATTTGTCACGTTAAATGAGGGATCTTTCGAGCTAATGCAAAATAATTTTTTTTTTTTTCGAAAACCTCTCTAAAGGTTTTACTGCAGTATTCCCAGCCCAGAAAAGTGTACAAATTTCACATACGGAGTGGTATGTTCAGGGGCATACCGAGAACCTGAAGTACATTAGATGGATAAATTCGAGAAACTCTGCTCGAAATTGTGAAATTATTTCATACCCTCACAGTCAGAAGTTCCGAGAGGGCTCATAAATATTTCATGGTGCGTTTTTGTACGCGTATCTGACCTACTGGGCCAAAGGACTACTACAAGCGCGGACAAAGGGTGCAATCACCGCCATCCTTTAAATTTATTAACGCCTACAACGCTTGTGGACACCGAATAAATGCTCCGGCGGGAATTAAGGCGCCTCCGCTTGAAAAAATTATAAGTCCTTGACGGCAACCTTGCTTGTTCCCGGCGATAAAAGCGTTCAGGAAACCCGAGATTTACAGGGCTCGCGGGAGGCGTCCCAAGATTTAAGACCGAGTCACGGGGCTCCTATTAATTACCTAGCCATTCTCCGTCTCTCCGTCCGCACCACAAGTCCCCCTTTAAGAAGGAAGACTCCCCGCCTTTTCTTTCCCCGCGGTGAACGGCTGGTTTTTGTGGCGGCACCACTCCGGCCCCCGCCCGACGCTGTGTCGCCGGCGATCTTTCTTGGACAGCCCTGGGAGTGAAAGGGGCGTCGAAAGTGGGCCTCGAAGAGGTGCGAAATTTGAAGCACAGTATTATTATTTTATTTTCAAGCGACAGGATTTACTTCGCGTTCCAAATTAACCTAATTCACGCACCCGAATCCTTCCGGGATCCTTTTTTTTTAAATATAGAAATGCGTGGATTGGAAGTACAATTAAACAATGGGATAGAACCCATTCTTGTAAATTATTTGCAGATACTTACTCTGGTCATTAGAACTACAGTTGAACCTCGATAAGTTGAACCTTCTTATGTCGAATTTTTTTATCAAGTCCTCGTGTAAATTCCCTTGGAAACAATTTATTAAAATTCTCAATTTCTCATGAACTCGAAGTCTTATCCTCTCAAGCCTCCGTATCTCGAATTTTCTGAGTTATTTTTGGCTATTACATATTTTATTGGCGGAGGGAAGAGCAAAGCAATAAAAAAATTAACTCGATGCGTTTTGAAAGGAAGTGAAAGATTAATTGGACGAATGAACCCTTTATTGCCTCCAAGTTCAGCATCCTGCCAACTCAATTAAGAAGTAATTTAAGGCGCAGAATATCACCATTTATAATTTCTTGCAATTCTTTCCATATTTCCCACAACATAAATGTTTGTTTCCTCAACTCGAATCCTCACTAACGCGATTTTTTTTTTACTGGTCAGTTAAAATTCGATTGAGATAAGGTTGACTGTAACTTAAATGAAGTAATAATTTCGAAGTTACAGTTTTTAGGCAGATATGCTCCTTATGCCTAAAATATGGGATTTTCAAAGTTCGACACACTGTTCTGAAGTACAAATACATTTCTGGACCCTATACAATTATGAAGTCTTGCTTCCAAAGAAAAAATCGTGAGAGCTGCAGAAAAAAAAACCGGACGAAACCTCAAAAAATCCACGAAAATGTATTTTGCTTTTATTCATTTTCATTGATATATACGGTATAATTGGAAGGTAAATAGACAATAATTATTGAAGTGATATTTTTAGCACCAGAATTGAAGAATGCTATGATTTTTCGTGATCGTCGCGGAACAAAGCGTTTTATTGCGAATCTGCCGATTCGCAGAAACGTTCTTCATGTGGTTGAATTGGGTATTTTACCCGTTTCATTTTTTTACGTATAAAAAATGCATCTAACGATCACCGAAAAGTCTTATAGCTTCAGCAGACTTATGGAAATGGTCCGGAACTCAATTAGGAGCATTTGTTTTTTTTTTCGGAGTCACTCGCTCAACTGAAACGCCTGGTGTATAACCTTATCAATAACCAGGTAACCTTCGACGGTGAACTTCTTTTCATACCTGATCCAATCCACGAATTGCGCGAGACTTCAGCAAAAGTTGACTTTTCTTTCCTTTTTCCGGTTTCCTGCCTGAATCAGTCATATAATGTCATTCTGAACGTTCGTGTATTGAGAATAAGGTAATGATCGGAACTTCCGTTCGGAGGTAATTCGTTTCACTCACTCAACATCGAGGTAACGTCAGAAAATTATTGGAACGAAAGGTTCTTTCGCATTCAGACCATGAGTAATTTCTGACTAAATAAAATACATGTATATATATTGATGAATGAATGAATGGATGTATTATTTACATTTGCTCGACTGCTGTTGCTCAAGCTTCATACTTCCACGAAAAGTTTTTATGGCCCTCATGGTCATTTGTTCATCGACTTTGCATTAGCAGTAATTTTTTTCTGAAACACAAGTACAGTATTTGGTCATTGGTTCTGCGAAATGATTTTGACTCTAGATGTGAAAATTTAAACGGTGCTGTGTTATTTTTTTCTGGTGTCCAACTGGACCTGCTCAATTCATGTAGGATGACGACGGGAAGGAGAGACTCTTTAGATATTCTGAACTGTTCATCCAGATAAAAGTTGTATTTCGTCCTTCTCTGAGACATTGAACCCAAAATCTCTAAAAACGCCGAGGGCGTTCTCTATTTTTTTTGGAACATGACGCTTTTGTAGCTCCGAACTGGTGTTCTTACAGGGTGTAGAGCAAAGAACTTGATAACTCAAATACCATCGGATTTTTTTTTTGGAGATACCAGCCGTAAAAATTCGACGAACTGGAGTATAATAATTACTGCAGCGGTCTGTAATTTTGGGGACAAATTTCAAATAATATTTTTTTAAAAATGAGGCAATTTTCCGTAATACTTCAATTGTCAGTCATCTATGATGAAAAAACCTTTATAAACTAATTTTTCTTTATCATATTTCTTGGAACAGAGATTCTCAACCCTTTATAAATTTTTAGAACTCTTTTTTGGGATCTGGAGCCCTTCAAGTTTCTTCGGGAGTCATTTGACCCATTCTTTGTTTGTCCAAGTACTAGAATTATTCTTTCTCAGGAAAGACAGCTTTGATTTTCATTTAATATACTCGAGTGAACAGAATTGTGGATTGGGACTTTTTTTCAAGTAAAAACGTTAGATCTAGATAAAAATTCCTCGTAGAGTTTTTCGCTTCTAGCCTGGAAATCATGGCGTCAAAAAGACTAATTTTTTTCCTTTCGTGTATACGTAAATAGAATTGTGGATCGAGACTTTTTAAAAGCAAAAGCTCTGGGGTCTAGATCTAAAATTTATCATGGAGTTTGGGAAGGCTTTTTTCTAGGTCTACCATGATGTACTAAATGCATAGGTTGGATTGAGAATCGTTTCTAGCCCGGAAATTGTGTCTTCGAAAAGACCAATTTTTTGTTTCATTTAATGTACTCATCGTATAAACAGAATTGCGGATCGAGACTTTTTAAAAGCAAAAGCTCTATAGATCTAATATTCCTCGGTGAGTTTGGAAAGGTTTTTTTTTCTTCTAAGTCTACCGTTATGTACTAAATGCATAGGAACAGGTTGGATTGAGAATCGCTTCTAGCCTGGAAATTATGACTTCGAAAAGACACACTCCGTTACACCAGCCTAGTAATTTGGGCTCTTTTTTTTCCTCCCGTCTTCAAATCTCGTTCGCTACCGGGCTTAATTGACGGCGTGATGATGGAATCGGGTCTGGTCATTGCCCAGCTGCCCGCTTCGATACGTCCATCAATCTCTAAAAATCCGAACCTTGTCTCAATCGGTAAGAGGCAGAGAGGCAGGCGTGGTGTTCAGGGGGAAATTCTTCCTTCTGAGGGGCGGAAAAGAAAGGGGCGCCACTTGCCGACCAAAAACACCGCCGTGGTGAGGCCGGGGGCGGGCTGCGCGTGTCGCCGGCGATCTTTCTTGGACAGCCCTGGAAGTGAAAGGGGCGTCGAAAGTGGGCCTCGAAGAGATGC